CATCACAGGGAATGTCTTTTAACTGAAATCCGTATAATTGTTATAATTAAATTACCGTTCTACGCAAGTTGTTATTCCAACATGCCACAACCAGTAATGCTCATAAACAAACCGACACAAACCGACACAATGAAAATGACATGTGTCATACATGAAAAGGGCGATTTGAGACTAACGGAACACACATACAGGTGATTGCACTTTTTAAATGTGATAATCGATACAGTAAGCCAACAAATGAATTACACTGCACCATACAGCCGTAGTGTCCTTCTAGGACTCATCGGTGATACAAGGGGCCAAACAGAGGGAAATACAAATTGTATAAAGTAATGTACGAAAGGCGGCCTAATATCGAAATAACATTTTTTTTTTATTTTTTAAAATATAAAACAAGTAATCTCAACTTATGTATATCACTTTTGTTAGACCAGATGGAAGCGCGCAGATGGTCGTAATGTGGGAGTAAACCCGAGTACCCAAAAACACACACGTGGGCGGGAAGGTGACCCATTACATTTCACTTCCGACCGGTGAATCGATCCCCGCCGTGTTAGTGAAAGACGAGTGCGCTATCCACTGCGCCACCAGAAAACCCAAAAAATGATTGCCAATATCTCCAATGATAAACGAGCCCCGCCTTAGACAGAACATCCCAATTTTACTCTGAATAATTAAGAGCAAGAAATCCAACATTATTATTTCTGAATCAGTACTTAAAGGTTTCATTCCTCCCCTAATAAAGGGTTACGAGAGCCCTCGGGAAACAACGGGTTGAACATGTCAAGGAAACAGATCTATAGTATGTGTACAATGTTTCATCTAAATAACAAGTAATTATTTTAGAAACAAAAAGGTGGGATATTCTGATTGCCTTATCAACGATGTCTTTCAATGTAATATTTAACTAATATACAGATATTAAACCATGAAACTAAATTGCTACAAAATGCATTAAACATCAAACATTGGTGATTATTGTACAATTTTAAAATTGAAAATTAATACAAACAAAAACTTGTTTTCTCAGAGCAATGAATTATAGGTGTACGCTCAATGAAAAGAGTTAGAAAGTGTAGACTCATTCCCGGTAAAGAACGCGTTTGGCTAAAAAATAAATGGCAGATCAAACCCCAACTTACTGCATTTGTTAACTGTCAAAATCTTATATGTAAATATATTCATTTATACACACTGATAGCACTTGCAATTTAAATGCTTTTATATAAATAAATACTTGGACTATATTTTCAACCATTGCAAATTTGAATAGCGAATATTTCATTTATCATGCATACTCGTTTTATGCTATAGAGGAACTGATATAAAATTTGTCAAAGCTGTTTTTCTCGCTTTATCTAGTGCATATCCAACTTATAAACAGTTTATTCGATATTTTCCCTCAATTAAAATATATAAGTGGTCGTTATCTTGAATTAACAGGATATTTTTGCAAACAGTAGAGAATTGAGACTGTGAAAACAGCATCCTGTTTTAGAAGACGAGGACCACTTCTTCGGTCACACTCAGTATACCTAACTCAGAGACTAATTGCTAGCAATGACTCCACAATATTAAAAACAATTAAATATTACATTTGTGTTTTCAGGTGATATAAAACTTATACGTGGTTCCCGATTTCTTCATTAGACAGTCGCGAAAACCCGCGGCAGAGTATAATTGTGTTCCATCCGAGTAAGTGTACTGTTCTATCGCAAACACTTCTTCAATTATGTTGCAAACATTGTCATTCGCGTTATAGTAATTGCAGAACAAGAGCAATAAAATGTGTAATTGAGTTAAGATCTTTTCTGGCAGTAGATGATATATTACCTAAGATGGTAGTCAACTGTCTTTATCATCAATTCCCTTAGGTATGTGTTTTATTTAGAAGCTGATCTAAAACCTGTCAAAGCTATTTGTTTCCTTTTAGTAGTGTACATCCTACCCATCAACGATAAATATATAAAGTTGTATGCTTAATTAAAAAAATCGTGGACCTTATCTTAAATTAGACTCTGATTCCTTAAAACCGACATTACTTTTTACGTTATCTTGCCATTTCATCTGTGCATTAGCTAAATCTGTTTATTTTGTCCCGATGTGTTTTAATTATCTCCACATTCCCTGTTGATGGTTATATATGTATTATTATATCTGATTGTCATTTGTGTACCACCAAATGGTCTACCGATTTAACTAATTAATTCTGGTTCTAAGTGACCGGGATTGCTGATGCGTCCAAGCTGTATCAATGACAAATGAATTTCTAACTGAAGTAAATGATTCTAAAAATAATGAACATTAAACTGATTCTTAGTTCGTTTCTTTCATACCCCCCCCCCCAAAAAAAAAAAAAAAAAAAAAAAAACCAACGGAGAGTAGAATTGGGTTCTTAACATGTGCATATATTGTCTTAAATCAAATTATTACTCTTAGTATTTGCAATGTAGTTATTATGTGATACAAATATTGTCATTCAATTAAAATTAAAATCTGCATTTTCTTCAGTCAAAGCTGTCACCCTTTGATAAAAAAAACCACCACAAAAATATTTTAAAATCCAAACATTTCTTTTTAATCTAAATAAACCTTATAATTGGGCTTACAAGGCTCGATACAACTCTATTTAAATACAAGTCGACTGACTGGCTTGTTACCTGTCAAGTTATCCTTGAATAGATATTTATTTATACACACCGATGTCATTTACCACGTAAACAAGACATGTCAGTATAAACGATGAATCCAATAAATACCTGGACTACATGTAGACAATAAAGGGTATGTTTCCGAAATTAATTTTGTTATTATTTTGACAGCAATTAATATATTACGTAAGGCGCTATTCAATTACCTCAATCGTGAATACCTGTACGTATGGGTTCCATTTAGCAGCTGATCTAATACATGTCAACGCTGTTTTCTCATTTTCTGAATCGCGTATCTAACTTATCTACTCGCAATATATAATGTTGTGTACGCAGTGCAACTATTTGTGGACGAAATCTTGAATTAGCAATAGAGTTTGTAAGAAAACTAGTAGGGAGTTGACACTTCATCAACTGTCCTTTTATAGAAGCATGCACTGTTTCAGGTATAGTCTCGACATATTTTAAAATCAATAAGCACTACTGTCAATGACTCAACAATATTTAGCAAACAATGAAATATTTACTTCTTATTCTTCAGATGATGTGAAACTAACTTTGTTCATCTTGTTATATTAATTGTAAGCAGTCGTAAAATCACAGGGCAAAACACACATCCTAATTCCAAACACTTCTGTTAGTATGTTGCAAGCCTTGTAATTTGCCATGAGGGAAAGAATTAGCAAGACAATACATAATTGAATTAATACTTTTGAGTGCGAGTCTTACTTTATTAGGAACTAGTTGATGAAAACTATGTTTGTTCTTAATCTATAACCCTGCAATTAACGGGGTATACAACTGATAGGTTAAATTGTTTAGGACTTTTACGTTATTTGATTAAGATATGCATGTTTAAGGAATCAAAGTCGTCATCCCGAGATAATACACAAAACTGTCAACAATTTCTTACATTTCTCTAGTTTCGTAATAGATTTTAATTCACCTGTAAGAAAATCAGACTTGGTACAACTACATTAATAGAATAGTCGACTGACTGGCCTAATCATCTGGCAAGCTTCTAACTGTATATCTATCTATTCCTACCGACGTCACTTACCATTGATAGCGGAGATGTTCTTATGACCGTTGAATGAAATAAATACCTGGACTATATATTAACAATAAAGAGCATACTACATTATATTTTTATTTATTAATTTACTTTTGGCAGCAATTGGTTTATTACGTAAGGTGTTATTAAATTACCTTTTTCGTGAATACCCTAACGTACGTGTTTTATTTAGAAGCTGATCCAAGATCTGTTTAATTAATATGTCACTCATATCAATGCATGCTGACTAAACAAAGGGAGATGACTTATATGAGCTGTAAGTTTGCTGTCAAATCCCTATTTCACTATGTATGTTGTACCAGTATTGCTGTCTAACGGAATAAAATATTTTTTAAACTAACATCTGTCAACGCTGTATTTATGAAGCGCATATCTAACTTAACAACCTTTCTTATAACTATGATGTTGTACACTTAACTCTAAATATCTGTCCGTAACCTTGAATTACCACGGAGATTGTACAAACAAAACACCATATAGAATTGAAACAATGTCACCATTATCCAGTTATAGAAGAAAATTGATGTTTCTTCTGGTATTGTAAAAATACATTGGCAAACGTTGTAGAACCTATAAGATTTCGACACTTTTAATTGACACGCTAACCATAAATAGCATCTTTCATTTCAACTATGCATTATGTTTATTAATAAATTAGTTTTTCTTCTTGATTCATTTCCTTTTGTACAGGGTCCTAGGTGACCGAAGTTGCCGATGGCCGTTAGGCAAAAACTAAGAAGTATATTAACAATACATAACTAATAAATGAATTTCAAAGTATGATGAATGACTCTACGATGTGCATCAATATTTTTTTCATTTTGTTTTTAGATTATATGAAACTTTTTTTAGTTCGTCCCTTTTCATGACATTCACAAAATCCGAGAAGAGTGGAATAAGATGTTGTTTAGTTTAAATTATGTATTGTTCAAACTGTAATCTGATGATGATATATGTATTGTTGTTTCCATTGAAGGTAGTACGTACAAAAAGTTAGCTACAATAAGTTATAAGATACCGTGTTTGATTCACATCTCTGAGGGCGTGTCTTAGTTAGTGTGTTGCTTATTGAGACGATCTTTGTGTTAGATTTACAAAACTCTGCAGTCATTAAAGGTACAAAAGATGGTTTGATTTGGTTAAAAGTTTAATGTAACTATTCATATTTGTTAAAGAAACTAAAAGTGATAGAAATAATAAGTAGATTGATTGAATACAAATTTACATACATTAAAGTACAGAGAAATAAATATATTTAATTTGTTCAGACTTACCCTGTATATAGCTGAAAGCAAAGACTGCCGACAAAAGGCACAAAAGAGGTGCATTGCTCCGCCACGGGGGTCCCATCGTGTTAGATGTCTCCATCACACATGATACGTATATAATAGTCTTGTTATACTCTAACGAATCTACCCAGGACTTCACCTGATCAGGTGACTAGTGACAGTGACTAGCTACCCAAAAATATACCTGATAAATAAGACGTATTGTCCAATAGGTAGGCATGCTATGCTTCGATAATCATTTCTTATACTGCTAGTACAATTATTAACCCGAAAAGCAAAACCAGGGCCAGATGCACGAACAATAAAGATATTTCAGTATATCATTTTCCACCGTGTTCAATAAAGCGTAGTATACAATTTTTTGTGATCGTGTGAATCGTCCCCGAATGAAGCTGTACGTAGCAATACGACTACAGTATATCACACATACAGTGTACAGTTTATCCATTGAAGTTGTGTAAAATAGGACGCAGTGCATTATTCTGAAATAGCCTTAATGCTTAAACGAAAAGGATAAGAAAAGCACACATTTAAGAAAACAAGTTAACAATACTTTTTGATACCACAATTTCTTGTCTCGGGTGTTAAATGCATCGTTAGCTTCAAATCATTTAAAAAGCCTTGTCAAAACTATACTTTGTTCAGGTACGTGAATACCACATTATACAAGGTATCATAATTATGCTTGCTGAAGATCCTGGTTCAACCCATTATGACAATATCCGTCATTCTAATGCTGGACCTCAGTATGGCTTAAGCTGGGGATGCCAGATATTTCTACACATACTGTATAAACAGTATTCGACTACATAAAGAGGTAATGTAAGTCACCCCGAGACCCCTAACACACGCCCAGCATATTTAGTTCAAGGCAAGGTTCACTTGGTTGTATAGACAGGTACCAGTGTACATTTAGGACAGCTAGGGATACCATGTATAGTCGCTAAACAACGAAACCATGTGAATTTGGAATAATTTATTTATATTAAATTGGAGTGTAAATTAAACACGAATAAATTTATGAATAGAAACTATTGCAGGGCGGATCCAGAGATTAACCCAACATGTTTTTTAACCTTGGGGGAGGGGGTAAACAAATTAGGACGGGTGCCTAGGGATACACAACAGCCAGGGTCAAATGAGGACGGATGCCTAGAGAGACACAACAGCCAGTGTCAAATGAGGACGAGCGCCAAGGGAGACACAACAACCAGGGTCAAATGAGGACAGGTGCCTAGGGAGACACAACAGCCAGGGTCAAATGAGGACGGATGCCTAGGGAGACACAACAGCCAGGGTCAAATGAGGACGAGCGCCTAGGGAGACATAACCGGAGAGAGAAGGTAGACTGGAAAGAATAAAGACAGGGGGGAGATAGGAAACCAAAAAAATTCCAAAGTGTCGCAACAGGGGCAGCAGCAGCAGATAGATAAATGTTTCTCTAGATCTGTCCAGTTTTGCCACTTAAAAGCAACAGTCCTTCAGTTATAAACATAAAAGTTGTAGGGAAATGGACGAAACGGAAACGTTCGTCGGTGTTACAATGGGTGGAGAAACTACATTTTCGATGCATAATGCCTCGTACGCAAAAACACAAGAATACTCGGAGCCTGTAGAAGTATCGAAGTGATGACAACGCACTATCTAGTATGGTTGATTATGAAGTGATGTAACGGTTGGTCGATCCATTCCCACTGTTTATATAATTATACTGAAACGATTTGTTTTTACACTGTCGATATTTTTGTTTGCCTACCAATTTGATCAATTTATCAAAAGTAAGATTTTAAACAAACCATGTTTAAAAGCAATTATTGCAAGGTATTACCTCTCCATGTAAGTATAGCATGACAAGCACTTTAGAGAAATGTGGTGAAACACCTGGTGTAATTACGGTTTTACGTCAGCTAAAGTCACACGAAAACAGAGCGGTAAGTAAATATATACACCACTAGTTACATGTACTGTATGTACACACTGTGTAGCTTAAGTTTCGAACTATCAAAATAGAACTAGTATTACTATAAAATGACCTAATACTGTATGTCCCCCACGTTTTCATCTGTTCCCTACGACACACCCCCTCCCCCCCCCCTTCCCCCCAAAAAACTCAACTCATTTATGATATCTAAAACAAGAATAGCCATCTAGATATATAAAAAAAAAAAAACATTTTCATAAAAAGAATTTATTTCTCAATTCTCCATATGACTAGAGTTCAGCACATTTGAGATTACATTAGATGCATATCTGTCATCACATAGTATCACGTGCACGGTTCTGCACAATCATTAACAACACTATCTAGTCTATGTACATAGAGCTACACTTGGGTAGCATTCTTCACTCACACCTGACAAGTCTCGGGAGAAAAGGATATTTGATTTCAAACTTACGTTATATCGTATTGAATAACCAATGCCATTTTAATGGTACTTTGCATACGTATTTACATCATAATATGTATAAACATTGTATAATATGTAATTAAGTACTCAAAACTTAATAGCAGTAATCAGCCAGTCTATTTCAACGATGGCACCGAAATAACATGTACATGTGTATTATACCTCATCAGCAACATCTGTCTATTTAATGTAGTATAAGGTATTTTTTCTGATTTTCCCTATTAGTTCCTTTACTCCACTATGTAATTCCGAATTCTTTAATTACCTAAACACTTCATAATGACAAAACATATCTGATTAATTAATATGTTAATTCACTGTATTTTGGAATTAAAATATATTCGAACATAGCACTTTCACGTGTATTCAAATAAAATAAACTTCAGAATGCATAAACCCCATCGAAATTATTTTCCCGTATTTATCCACAATGATATGAACTATCGCATGCGTATTTAGTAAGACATAACTTAATTTACAATTGGATAGAAACCAGTATTGAATAACATAGAAAACAGCTTTTAAACCCAAGTACGTTCTGGTATGCATGTCATGTTCTTTTCATATTAATTAAGACAAGTAAATGAGATCATGGCAGTGTGCTGACGTAATGTAGATAATATATATGATCAGGATGGTGACATTAAACATTCATTGTCCGAGAAAAACAATTAACGAACTCTCGCGTACATTTCTGGTTATGTGTAAAAAAACGACAATGAACTTGTTTCCATTTCATATTAACTAATATGCAATAAATCAAACTGAAATTGTCATTTTAACTAAGCAGACCCCTCAACAAATGCAAATATAAGTGTTATTTCCAAAATTGATCACTCATTTCAGATATCGTATTATCAAATGCATAAACGTAGTTTAAAACAACTGAATTTACAATTCAGTTTTCCTTACTTTCTCGTGAAACGAGAATGTGAAACAGCACAGGCTTGACGATTCTTTTTCTCTAACCCCGTTGGCCCCGTCATATAAGTAACTTTGATGTTATTGCAATGCATTGTTGAATCATGCAATTCTAATGCCCGAGAAGTGAGGAATCACATTATCTTGACCCTATGGCAAATGGCGGATTTCTCCCCCACTAGACAGAGCATCCACACTTCAGGCCAGGTCAAGCATTTAACGTCTTATCTTAAGAGTAAAACAGAGGGGATTTCACATACATAACAATAAGATGACGTCATAACAACACTGCATGAATGTCACGCCAACAATAGCATATTACGTAAGATAACTAAACACGTTTGCTGTTAAACCATGCCATAAACGCTTGTTCCATGAAATAACTTCTTGTGTTTGAGGTGGAAGAAAAATAAGCATTCCCCGCATTTACAGCAAGACAAGACAAATCTCAACCCTTAGGTAATGTTAAACGCTAATTAATTGTTTAGCATTCGTCAAAACATCAGGCTAGACATATGCTTTCATAAAATGGACATCAGCATGCAGAATAACGCAACCAGATCAATTTTCTCAACTCATTCACCCCTGAAATTTCATAACGGACTATTTCAACCTTTGAATTGGAAGAGTTTAAATGTGACTTCAGGGCAAATGAGTTACATGTGTGTGACCAGTTGTCTAAAGCCTAATCATTACTAGCTTAACTTTCATGCATTCTCGACGCTTACTTCATAGTTTTACTTCAAGCTGATTTTTACATGTGCATTTTACGATATTTAAACAGCATTTTGTTCTTTCATGTTTTATTGCCTCTAACGACTCAATTTCATTGCAGTAGATTGTATTTGTAGCTGTTTCAGCATTAATTGAAACTTCCAGCATTTCCTGTGGTTGCGATTGCTGGTTACTTGTACAGATTACACAATAAAGCGGCTTGGATTTCAAGTTCCTGAATTTAATGTAATGTATCAGCTGAACTTAGGTTGATTTGTATTGGTTCAACTGTATGTAGTTGCAGATAAGAAATAACAGCCACAGAATCAGTAACGCAAACTATTTGTTTCGTTCTGTTGAATATGATTAAGAGAACATATTTCATTAATGATACATTCTTATATTAGTTACAACATAAAAATCGACAATACACGTTAAGTTCTTTAATATGATAATAATATAGCATACTACATTTTACTGACTTATCAGAACATAAAACCGTGTCTGGTGAGTAGTTGATCCATACTTATTTTCATTCTCATACCTTAAACTGGTAGTTGAAGAGTACCACAAAGTTGAAGCAGGGTATCACCATTTTCACTACCATAACATAAATGCTAAAGCCCGCAACCTACATTATAATGTCACTAATTAGTGACTGCTTTACACAGATCATAACTCGCTATGCTTTCTACGGAAATAAAACCATGAAATTTGAGTATTTTGAAAACGGGGGGGGGGGGGGGGGGGGGTGAAAACGCGAACAATGCCCAAACACGGGACTTGCACGCTATCAATCCTAAAATGTAATCATATTGAAATGTAAACAAACATCAAAATGTGTATGAATACCTTGACAAAGTAGAAACTCTATGCCAGAAAACATTCCTTGCGCTTGCTTCATCTATAATCATATAATGGAGTGGACCAAAACTCCAGAGAACAGCTTTGACTGTTCTTTGAGAATATAACTAAAGGATTGAAACAATTTACATTAAGCGATCCACGTCATTCTCAAGATGCAACGCTTAATTCATTCCTCATTATTTAGCTTCTCTATTCCTTTCGTACGGTAGTATTTGGTGGAGGAA